CACTTATTAGTAGCTTTAGTTCGTTCAAATCGTGTTCACATATAACTTCTGAATCAAATTAACTCAATATAGCAATAAATTAAACATGTCATGTCATGCCAAGCGTGTTGTGACATTGTTAATATTGCAGCGAGCAAAGCTGCCGCATGATCCTAGTCATCGTGATTTGCTACTTATGAATCTTAGTCTAGGAGTCCAAGTCAAATTACTTCCTTAAATATCTGTTTTGCATTAACACGTCAACTTTATTTGAATTTAAAACTATGGCTTCTGGATTGTTTTATTTATCTTCGCCCTGGGTTAAAAAAATACATTGATCCGTAAAACGGATATAGAAAAGGACAGATTTTCTGTATGTTATAAAAAACGCTTATAATACGTATATGGTTTAATCTTACTTAAGATTTAAGTAAAGGGCTACAAGGCTCCTTTTTTTAATAATGACAGCCATTAACAGCTGTCGCGTTTTGTTTATTAAAATTATCTGCTTGATATGTCTACATGTGTGCTAGTAATCATTTTATAATGATTAAAAGAAACGCTTATTAAAATAATTAGGATCGGCAACTCCTTGGATAATATGAATTTGGAGTCGCGCAAACATTGTCTTTTGTCATTAAATGCATATATTTTGATGGTCTTTGTGAAAATCAACAGCTTTGCTAACTAGCAAAGCTTACAAATTAACAAACCGGCCTCGCGGCGAATATTATGTTAAAACAAAAATAATTGTTATGTAAAACGCTTTGAAATTACCACGGGTTTATATTATTATTATACATATTTTTTACGCATTATTTATTAAATCTTTTGTCTTTTTGCATACTCTAAATTCTGAATTTTCAAAGCTTGTTTTAGCTTCGAATTATATATATATATATAATTTCACATTGTTCATATAGGATTGACAGAGCGTCGTTTTTATATTTTTTAATATCAGCCACGTTGATCCAACATAGGTGAAAATATTTTGGGGACCAAATTAATACGAGTGTTCAACATCAAAAACTTAGCCAAGCCATGAGTAAAAGAACAATAGAATGTTTCCTTAATTGTGTAATAAAGAAACTGTTTATACGTATCGTATCAGACAGGAGAGGTGGGCCGCACGCAAACACGGCTAATCCGGCTTTACGTACTCTATTGTATTTGTTTTATCCACACGCGACGGTCAGACAAGGGTGACAAAACTTGTATACACGCGACTATGGCAACAGGACAGACACACATCTTTTATTATAATAAAAAAAAACACTATTTAACGAAATATAATCTAGAAGTTCGAATCACAGTTTTCGGTCTTACTAGACTTGTTTATACGAAAAAAAAATATATTCACACTTTTCAGCCATTTCCTAACAATAAAATAACCTATAGAATATCAGGAAATACTAGGTTTTATGTTTTAATATTAAAGTTTTGTTAAAAAACCTCATACGTTTTTTAAAGTATAAAATAACTAGTAAAAAGTAGTTCGCTTAGCTTTTAAATGCATAGAGAATAGACTCTATTAATTTGAAACAAAAAACGATTTGAAGTGTAGAGATGTAAACGATAATAAAATGACAGTTGGCTGTTAGCAGTGAAGCATGGCAACACGCAGTGTCAGAAGTGTCAGGGGTGTCAGAGAGAGCGCCCGTCAGGGTCCAGGGTCGCAACCTCCGACACTGGACCAAATAATTTGATAGATTTCACTCACATAAACGTCTCGAGTTAAATCATTAATTTGTTTTATTTAGACGCAAATTTTACATCCATCTTGGGTATTAATATGATAACGAACACAGGCGAATACACGCGTCTGTTCTTTTGCCTTTTTAATTTCTATTTGGTATAATCTGTGGTTTACTGTTATAGCTTTGCATATTCATTTTTAATTGTATTTAAGTTAGGTGTTAAGCTGTTGTAAACCCGGATAAATAAATGTATCCTTATGTGTATACTCTGTGATTCAGTTTCTTTCAAAAATAAGTTAAAATAACTTTTATGTGTTAAATATAGATTTTAAGTGACCAATACTTGCCATTTTTCCGAAAATATTTAATACATGTAATTGATGTTGAATTGAAAACACAGTTCAAAATAATTATCAGTAGTCTACCTATGTGCGTAAATTAATTTGTAAGCTTTAATGAGACGGGTATAAGTGTCACTTAGATTTCGATAGAGTCCGATATACTACTCTGTCTAGAAGTCGATGACATATCGGCCGTTTCAATCTGACTTGTGATGGCACATGTTTCATTCAACTATTTCTATAATAAGAGGTCAATTTTATTTAATTCCATATTAACTCTATGTTTTACAAAACAACTTAGGTAAGTATCTAAATATATCTAATACGCCGTTGTAAGGTCTGTGCTGTAACTGTAATTTAAATTGTGTTCATTTGTATAATATTTATTTAATTATATATTAATAAGGTTTAGTCATTGTGTTTGTATTTTTTTTATCTTAAATTTTTTCATGATTTTGACCGCTGTTGCATAGCGAGTTGAAAATATTTGAAGAACATAAAATCTTATTATGCTTTTAGAAAAAAATACCATAATTTAGATTAAAAAAACAATAACAAAGGGTTAAAACCCGAATTATACTTATTAAGTTATGATTATCGTTTCGGACACTGTTACCCAGCCGCGGACAAAAATAAATATCGGTATCGTCGGGTCATAGTCCAAAATGAAAAGAATATAACATGTTAAATAATCTGTCTGTTTAAAACGGTTTTTTTCATGAGTATAGCACGTTGTATACCACAATATACTGTTAAATTTTAATCCATTGATAGCATATTCTGTTCGTTATTATAGCAATTGCTCGATAGATATATAATATATCTCTTTAGTTTTACCATAGATCGTTAATGGGAATTGGAACACTAGACAGGAAACGATATAAACGCGTATATTTCAATGTTTAAAGAAAAGCCCGATTTTAAATCTATTTCGTGATGACATAATGATAAACGATAGAGATGTCAATACTTTAATGATAGGGTTAGGACGTATCGGCCGTTCCAATCTGATAGTCAAAATTATTATTTAACGACAGTTAAACAAACATGGGAACGTAACATTCAGTTTGTTGATAAATTTCTTTCTCAAAAGTCTTTTCGTATGCAGTATTACTTATTGTAATTTGATATAAATACTTAAATAATATTAATTTAAGTAAGCTGTCCTGTATGTTAAAGTTATATTATTTATAAGTGTTACTTGCTTGAACTTTTGCGTTGTACCTATAACGTTTATATCCTCACTAACTAAGATTTTCTAATACTTTAGTAATAGTAATATTCTAGTAATAGGTATTCAATTATTTTTTATTAGCAGATAAAATATGTAGGGATTTAATGCTGAGCGTTTAATGTAATACCAAATAAGGTAGGTATGTGAGAAGTGATTTACTAGGGATGGGCCGAAATTCGGTTAAAACCAAAAATTATCATTATATAATAATAAATAGTGATGCCTAATTATTAATTAAGTTATAAAATCTTAAATTAAAATTATGAAGAATACTAAAACTAAAAAATCTTGCTCCAAATACCGATGTTCAGATCAAGATAGTAACGTTTACAGTTAGCAAGATGTTTACAGGTATCAAATGGTCAATATGTAGGTAGTGTATACGGAATAATTAAAAAAATCTTTAAATACGCCTCATTTATAAGACTTTCACGGTCATCGTTCGATTGCTCGAGGAGCTAACATCTCCTGATGATGCCGTCCGCTCGTGATGGCGAAACATCGAGAACCACTTCTCGCTCACGTCGGGCGAACAGCCCGAAAAACAATGATATGCATACAATTATTGTTATTTTAATAATTAAGCTATTTTTAAGGTTAAGAAATGTTAAAAAATAAGCGAATTAAATGTGTAGGTATATTGTTTTCATTCGAAATTTAAAATTATATTTTCGTATAACAAAAACACATGAGTTGATAATTTCTCGTACCGTTTTATTTCATCCGAAATTCGATATTGGTTTCGGTCTTAACATAAAGCTACTCCTATAAATTACGTTAAATGTTATTAATAGCCGTTAGAATTAATCAGAAATTGTAATTGACTCTACCGGCATACACAAGAAACAAGTATCTACGAAATTAATAAGTCACGAAATGCGCAAGTAGTAACATAACCTGTCATGGACTAATTGGGCTTTAATTAAGCGATTCTTTTAATTAATTGTCGTTTAGTTTGGCTTAGTCTTGATTATTTTTGAATTGATTGAGCTTCCATGGAAGAATTATATACTACTATTGTAAAATTTCTGGTTTGACAGGTTGAATTATAATTGTTTTCCAAATGTTGTTCCAAAATGCATGAGATTTTGAAAAAAATTAATGGAGGCAAAAAGCCCCATCACTTTAACATTGCAGTGAGATGCGCTATAGAACGATGAAGCTTGGAAATTTCGGAGTCTCACCGTGACCACGGCTGCTCCGAAGCGTCCAAAACGTCGGGCCGTAGGTCAAATAATTTTCAAATAACTTTAACTAATATATTTCGCGTTTAAAGCCGTTAGTGTTTTATTAAAATTTTCGGATTTATCACAGACTAAAACCCAGACAAGGCTTCTCTATCAGTCGGTAGTTCATGCACCAAAATTTTAAAATGAGATGAAATAATGCTCAAGAATTAATTAAAACATTTTTGGCAAAAGCTAAGAAAGACTACTTGCGACTTAGAAGTAAGTAAGCTTTTTTTTGTTTCACACATCATTCCTCCTTCTTTAACACAAATAAGTAAGATATAATACAATTTTTATATTTTAGAGTTGTGTATTAAATTTAGCATAAACCCAAAAATATGTTTTACGATTTGTGAATTTAAATTTTATTCATAATAATTCATTCCTATTTCTGGAAAATGTCATCTTCCATTTTTATTAATTGTACCCCAATAGGCTTTTAGATATTCTTGTTTTTCTTGTAACGTATAGATTGGTATTTATCAATATTTCTTTGTTTATTATATTTCGCTTAGCTTACCTGCGGGTTTGGGTACATTCCGTTTGACCTGCATCCACTTATACGTAGGTACGGCATGCTGGGGGTGGGTCTGATGATTCACGTGGTGCTGCATATCCCCTTCCCTAGGGAACTCCCTCATCGCAAACTCCTCCTTAGGGACATAAGGTACTTCAAACTCTCCGCACGGTAGCGGCGACCCATGGTTGTACTGCATGGAATCGTCCACAAAGTGCATATTATATTTAGTTTCTAAGTAATGATTGTCTATTTTGTGTTCGTGTAGCATATCTTCATGCCTCGGCGCTTCTTCTCTATGCTTAAATGTCTCTGGGTGTGGGGCGATCGGCTGAATGGGATAGGATTGTGGTAATTCACCATAGTCCAAGTTCGTATAACACAGCCCTGTGTCTGTGCTAATAACCGGAGTCGTCTCATGAGCTTGGCCGTGCAGTATCGGCTCGTAGTAGGCGGTCGGCTCATAATAACCCTCGTGGTAGCCCTCGTAGGGAGTCTGGTAAGATCCCTGCTGGTAGTACTCAGCGTTGTACCCATTCTGGTTATTGTACATCCCGATGTCCATAGTCATCATGTTTGTTATCGATATTACACACACATCACTACACCGGGATTAGGGCCGTGCCGTCCGCTTGCACGTCAGGTAAAACGTACACTGAACGCGACCGAATCACCACCACACCAAAAAGTGATTTTTCGTCTTCTTCTATTCACTCGTAAAGAAGTGAGATAGAGTGAAGTTGTGATGCAACTCGGCGATAAGCGGATAAGAAACGTGATTTTTCAAGACGCGTTTCACGGGTGTAGCTCGTTACATTCTTTGCGTTATACTTGTGACGTTGACGGCCACGTACTGTGGGTATCTGACATGTTTTTGCATGAAATGGGTGGGGTTTGAAGAGGGGCGGAGTTCGAGGGAAACTGTGCAGCCAATCGGATACGTCGGGCCTTTTCACCATCTTGGATTGGTTAGAGCGAGATAATAGTCGCGAATCTGGGAGGCTGTGAGCGAGTGCTTTTATATTTACCCCGTGGCGAATGGACCAGCTGACAGTTAGTGGAAATAGTTCAATTTATTTGTTGGACTTAAATCGATGGTAGGTGTGAGATGCTGCCATGTTCACAGTTTGTTCAGTGGCAGATGCTATGTACTCTTATTGTTGGAGTACGTGACGAATCTCTTATGTGGAACTCATTGAATACGGCGCAATAATGATTTTTCATCTGTTACTTTATCTATTTTGAAGAGCGTCATAATGATGGATGTTTTTTACTTAAACTTAAATAAAAAAAAATATTTAATAGTTACGTTAATAAGCTATCTATCTATTTATATTGCGCTATTAAACATTAATAATTATGCCTGCTGCCAATTCATACAATTTTTCATGTTTTTTTGTACTTAAGTAACTAAGTAGGTAAGAGGTAGTCGCCGTCGTATTTATTTAAAACTAACTATGTTTCAAAGAGATTTCTGTTTTTAACGAGCTCGTTGATGTAATGGTAGCATTGTAGGTATGGCTAATAATCGACGGGTCAAGAGTTTGAACCCCACCTAGTCAAGCATTTTTTTTTAACTTATTGGAGTTCATCTGAAAATTTGGGTATTTAACGAGTGGTAGTATCAAAATTCTCTCTGGGTCACGAACCACAGATGAAAAAACCATGAAGTTTAATGGCGCTTTGGGTTCAATATGAGGATTTCCGAATATCCAAAATTACTGTGATTAGTTTGTACCTACTTATTTAATTTAACATAAAACTAACTATGGTTTTAAGTTAAATTAAATAAATAGGTTTATGAATAATTACGTCTATGAATACTAATTCATAGACGTAAAGTATACATTTCTAGAGAAAATGCTTTTGCGATCTAAACAGGACGTAGATAATGCTTATCGAAGGAATATAAATATTTTTTTAATAATTACGTATTCCTATTTCTCTACCGAAGTCACTCATAAGTTTAGGCAGCTAAACTTTTTTTAATGAAGTAGGTAAATAATAGTACGGTAGAGATCGCTTCGTAGATACGATAGACATCTATCTATTCGTTAAACAATTTTAAAATATCCGATTAACCTACTTCCTCTTAAATAAACAAATAGTTTTTTTTATCAATGTTTGTGTTGTATATTTGAGACTTGAATGCCCTTATGTTAAAGTGGGTATATCGAAAAGTTTTAAAAAGATCTAAATTTGCTACTCAATCAAAAATTTAGAGGCAGGTATTGTCTATAGTTTACGCTAGTATTACACTTGGAAGTAAATCTCGTTTACAGTTTAAAACGCGAATTATATTAGTTAACTTACTTTTAATTTATTTCAACTACGACCTGACACTTCGGATGCTTTGCAATCTCGTTAGTCAGTCTCACTGCGACTAATATATTTCGCGTTTCAAACCGTTAAACGCTGTTTTATTTTAGAGGTCGGTGTGTTGTTGTGCGTAAACATTGTTAACTACACAATAAATTAAGTAAATGTACATGTAGTATAAATGAACATTTTTCGAAAAACAAATGCTATACATAGTTAGGTAATTTTAATCAGATTAAATCAATTTAATTCATTATTTTATCAACGGCGTATACGTTTGACAGCAGTATGAAACCTTTTTATCATCATCGCAATTATATAAACTGAAAACAACTTTGTTCATAACATTTTAATTGACTCGACCTACCATAATTATCTGCCATCTCGTTTTACATTCGAAAGGGCGCCTCTATCTCATTTCATCGGAAGTCCTCGTTATCCAATAATCATCAATTACCTTGCAGTTCGGTGGCGAGTTTGACAATAAAGTATTAAAGGCTTTTTCAAAAGCTTAATGAAATCTAACCAAGAAGAATAATACCAAAATTATCAAACACCTGGGATCCCATATTTAAAACTCTGGCTCCCAATAAACAGCATACCGGCAAACGCGAACACACCGTTAGTCAATTCTGTAAGGACCCGGTCAGTTTCGCCAAATACCAACTTTGACGGAACAGACTTTTTTACTTTGACGTCAGAGACATCCTCCATCTTTAGTCTCCCCGTGACCACGGCTGCTGCAAAGCATCCGAAACGTCGGGCCGAAGTTAAAAATCAGTTTCAAATAAGATTGACTAATATATCGCGTTTTAAACCGTTAAAGTGTTTTAATTAAAGAATAATTCCTACCTAGAATGATAATACTATACACTTAAGCACCTACTGTGTCTACTGATCACCCAGTCTTTTATCGGCGTCCCCAATAGTAAAAAAATCAGTTATCATTTGCACTAACAGGGGGTCACCATCAGTCCACATTCATATATTTATTCATTCTCCCTTTACCGAGGAGGGTAGGACATATGTTATACAACTTCCACTTTTGTTAAATTGTTAATTTACTTTGTCATTAATATTAACTTTTGCTATATCGTCAGTTTCCATATGTGTTTGCCTTAATTTTGAATACTTACATATATTATTCAGTGAGTAGGTATATCATAAATCAATGTTTCCTTACCCTCTTTGCACTTAGGGCATAAATGGCACTACCTACTCCCATTATTGTAAATTTGTAAGATGTCTGTTTAGACAACGTCCTCTTATAATTTCTACTATGAGATGAATATTTGCTTTCGTAAGTTTTATTATGTTCCTATTTTTCGATTGATATCAGAACTTAGGTATCTAAATTTTAAATTTTGGGACTTGGTTGACCATCTAATAAAAAATCTTTATTGCCTTTTTACATTTAAATTACTTACGATAATTTTTACAAACTGATTGCTATAAGCTTAACTTAAAGGACTTACATAATATATTATTACTTAGTATTCATGCTTTTTTTATTAAGAAAACATTTAAGGTAGTTAGTGCCTTTTTTTGCAGAGCCATGGTCATGGCTGCTGCATCATCCGACTTAGAGTTCTACTAAATGCGTAGACTGCAAAATAAAACTTGGCGATAAAAGGAGTGCCGGCGAGTTACTTGCCAGTTCTTCCCGTTTTGTTCAACGCCCTCGTAAATTTAGAGTCTTTAGTTTTTAACTGATGAGCTGTTTATAAGTGTGCCGTGTTACCTGCGTGAATAAATGTTTTTGACTTTATAGGTACTACTCGTATAAACTACAAACAGTATTTTTGCTTGTTTTATAGCTCGTTCTTCGCCAAACGCCTCTAAAAATTCCCATGCATGACCATTGCACATTCGTAAATATATACAAAGCACTGACAAATTACTAGTACTCAATTCCTTGGTTTATCAAAATCTTTTATACAACTCGATAAGGAACACGCATTAGCCCACACGTTATTAAAAGAATTTAAAAATACTTCGCGATAACGTACCTCGTTACGCGCTCTACATTAAACCCAACTTCGTACCATTATTAATCAAACAACACGTCACAACACCATGATACCATTTCAATAATGACTAATAACCCTTTAAAAGCGAAACGCACCCAAAAACTACTTAAAGCCCAGTACGCTACGGTTTATTTTGCAATAACGTTGACATTTTATAAGACAAAAATGTACAGATTATGAAATATGGACTGTTTTAATCGAAATTAAAGCTTTATGATTTTCTTTTCAATTTAACTCGAACGTTGCTGTTGCGTTTTCAACTTTGTTACGAGTGCTTACGATTGTTATTTGAGTGTTGAGAATTATTTTAATGGTGGCGTCTTTGTATGAAGACATTCACTGTCACTCCGTCCCAGTAAGACGATAATTTTGACTAGATTATAACGAGGAGTGGAAGCAAGATAATCTGGAACGAGCTTTAAGTGCGTTTCAATATACATTTTTGTTTATTTTTTAAACCAGTAGTCTCTTTCGAGTCTTGGCGTTGTTAATTTTGAATTTATGACATAGTAAAATCTAGCATTATTGATTGTGGCAGACATATTATTGTGTCCATTTCATTGATGTATTATATTACATAAGATTAGCATTTAATGCCTATATCGTGATTTTTTTTGCGGGATGCGAACCCCGAACTGAGCTTAACGACAAATGAGGATTTTATATTTAGATTAAAAATGATATATGAACATGGATATAGGCTTTAAGATAATTCCGTCAAATAGAAAATTTGCCAGTTCACGTTCTATCCCGCGAGACGCGAACTTACATGTCGCAAGTTTGTCCCGTGTCAGCGTAAGATGGATGGCCTCGTGGGACCGTCCCTGGGGGATTCTGTTATCGTTTTTTTTGTCCAAGATCCACCGGTGCTCGATATACGTATGTACCTATGATTCTGCAGTTATCTTTAGTGAAACAAGCAATTTTTATCTTTTTAAACTGTATAATAACGATTAAAATTAATGCCAGACAAATCATTTTGTGATATATTATATAGTTTGTATGGATATCTAATATTAAAAATATGTTAACTGATTAGACACCCTGACTATATAGTTAATGGAAATTTGCTATGTCAGTTAAAACAGAATCCGTAAGTTTATGAGTAACAAAGTTTGAAAACTATAATATTTTTTACATGATGGCACTATATAAATTAAAAATCGATTATAACTTGTAAAAACTTACGACTCGGGCAGGACTTCAGCCGGCATCTACAGAGCAA